GAAATTTTGTGATCCGCCTAAATCTTAAATAACCATTGTACAACTAAAGTTCTAAGTCACAGTTGACATTATTTTACTCTTTAATAAGTATATTTTATGTGTAATTTTAATGCTATTACATGAAATCAATTCTGAATCATGATAGATCTACATGCATCATTGCAACTAAACTGATTAAAAGCACAAACACATAGATTTCATGACTACCAATCAACTTTTTATGTGATCTTAAATACTGCATTGTTTACAGCCTGAGAAATAAAACTTTATATCAGATAGATTAAAACATTTGATAAACTGCTGGGAAAAACACACTCGAGGCAGAATAGCACTAATTACTATCCATAATATTACGCTAAGAAATGGCCTGCAGTGTTTATTAGTTTTGATAGTTACTTCTAAGACAACATACTTTTTAAGTCGATGACTTAGAATTATCATCACCTTTATAAAGCTATGAAATAAACTAAAGTTTGTTAGTGCCTGTAAAGCTCCCTCTGTGTGTGGGCTAAGACATCATAAAACTAACTGTGAGCATATGTATTGTATTACAAACTAGGTATTTTCTAGAGCTTTTAGTTCCTTCAGTGAGCTGCAACAAGAACAACATTATTCATAATTGGGATAATTGTAACTGTGAACACCTCTATATAGCTACAACACAAATATGTTAGTAAATACCAACGAAGTATGTTGTAAGTGTTCATTCTTCCTGCTGTGAATGAAAAAGACTGCACAACTCTGCACTTTTTTTTTTTTTTTTTTTTTTTTTGTTTAAGGTAAAAGTTGAACTGGCATTTCACGTATGAATGCCTCGGGCAAACTCGTGTTAAAGCGATTATCACGCACTTTGCATTTAGAGTAAAATAAGTGGCTATTCCGTTTCAAAGTTTTCTGGTACACATTTCCGTAAACCTTTAATTTCAGAACATCTTCATTAATAAGTGTGAAATAGACGAGGTTTTTGCCAAGAATAATCCGTGAAACACTGAAAGCGTGTTATTTATTATTTTGTCAGTTTTATTTACATTAATGACGTTATAAGAGTTTGACGGTTAAGTTTCTATTAATGAGTTCAAAGTAAATTCCGTAATAGCATGAAACGATTACAATCCTTATTTTAATAATTTCAGGCGATTGGTGATCCATTATCAGGATATCGTTCTTGTTAAGTAAACGAGTAATGATTGTCAAATCTCATAGTTTTATAAGTTTATTTTAACTATGTAACTTAGCAATAGTTTGTTCTCAGTTCAACATGGAGTTCAATCTCTTAAACCTATATTGTATCTTAAGATTAAATATTTTTTAATTAAGAGCTGGATTAGGACAGTTGCTGACTTTTGTCAAGTTTATTAAACAGATTGCAAGAAGGCTATTCTATAGCACCCAAGAAAGGTTTTTTTACTCTTTATTTATGTGTGTAATCAAGGCTAAATGTGTATGTGTATAAATGATGTTAAGCTTTTGTTTTTGTTTTTTTATTATAAGTCATAAACGTAAGATTACCTTACGAACAAAATTTAACAATAGAAAACAAAAGTGCAAATATTTACAACGACCATATCATGTATGTAAGAGATTTGATTAGAATTCTGATGGGTGCCTAAAAAAAACAAAAACAAACTTATTACAGAATATCTTTAGCTGCAGATTTGGTTTGCTAATTTAAATAAGTTGAGAAGATATTTTTATTTAATCAAGCTAATTAATTAGCCCCCCAGTAGCTCAGCGATAAGCCTGAGGGCTCACACTGCTAAAAACTAGGTTTCGATACTCATGGTGGGCACAGCACAGATAGGCTCTTGTGTAGCTTTGTGCTTAACAACAAACAAACTATTTAATTTTGTTTTTTAAAAATAAATCAATATCACAAAACTAGAAGAGGATTTCTCACATGTTAACTGTATAGTCACAAAGTATTATCAGAACAAGTTCTTTCGAAAATGCAGATGCGAATATTTTTATATTTGCTCCGTAGTAAGAGATGTTGAAAATAAGCACGTGTTTGAAGAATTTTTTAATGTTGTTCCAGTTGAATGACAAACCTTCATTCCATGTTGATTTATCCGTTCAGCGTATAATTAAACCGCACTTCAGGTAATTTTGTATCCGTCATTTCTTCAGGTAATTATAAGTTGCTCGGGAGAGTACTTCCTATTGTTTTGTCTTAAGGTACAAGTCACTCAGGTTTAGTGTATTAGATATGCAAGCGAAGCGCTGTGAGTTAGAGAAAATTACAGGTTTTTAGTATCACACTGAGGGAGAAAGATTTGCAGGAGTCCTGTATAATGTCAACACGACATTTCTGTAGGAGGTCTGAAGTGGGGAGTGACATATTCGCCACCTAGGTTTTATCCGCCTCACACGTTGAATCGATATGTAGGTCCATCTGACTGACTATCACTATCATTATCAACGAGAGGCTCTGATCATTCTTCAGTGTTGTTTCCCTTCTAGTTGCCACCCCCACCAATGGCTCAGCTTTACGTTTGAGTACTTATAACGCTAAAAATCGGGGTTCAATACCCGCGGTGGGTATATCGTAGATAGCCAATTATGTATCTTTGCGTCTAAATACTAAAGAACAGAGAAAACCTTCTTATGATTTTAAAACTATAGATGTCAGGTTTTATAGGGCCAGATTCTTTACAGAAGGTGTCTGTGACTTGTTGGCAATAAATTTCAACAATAAACGGATAGTACATAATCCACTCGTTTTAGAATAATATATTCAAAACAACTCAAACGTATGTACAAAAATTCGTTACGCTTTTGGTTATCACAGTTATTTCCAGAAATTTAAATAATTATATATTTTTCCTCAAAGTCCACACATGCCGGTTCAGTTATTTTAAAACATCTTGTGACAAGACAAGTTATTATTCTCTATCTCTGTTATTAAAATACAAGCTGTGAAACTTTCAGTTCATAAATCGCCACTATATGCTCTTTATGACTTGACTCACAATCACGCAGTCTATCTTCACTTTTACTTTCACTAACTTACTTCCTTGGCCGCCTATCTAACCTATATAAGATCCTATGTGTGTGTGTCACGTCACGCTTGATTTCTCGGAATGGGAAGAGTCAGAGAAGCCAAAATGCATTTATCCAGATAGAATAGTTCGATTACAGTCTTCCCATTACAATTTTAGTGATGGGGTACAAAGGGGCGTGAAACCTTGTAGTGTAGTGAGTGTTATTATAATAAGCCTAAAGTAAAGTTGTAGTGTGGCTCACCTAGACTAGAGCCAAGTACATAAAATTTATCATAAAAGTAAATATATCATTCAATTTTAAACTTATTAAATCGTTTCTTAATTAAGTTATTTCCTGTTATATCACCGTTTTTAGTAAAAAAAAACAACAAAAAAACCTCTTTAATCAAAGGAGACTCTAAATTAAGAAATCGCAAATACTTTCCAGTTTTGTTGTCTATACGTTTCATTTTATACTTTCAGTACATAGACTAACGAAAATATGGTTATACTTTTGTTGCTAAGCAATATGACATAAAATCCATTGTTGGAATGTAGTGTTAACAAAACGCACTAGCTTTTCTATATATTAGAATTTGTTAATATAACTGATTTTAACCAATAACTATTTCATGAATACACCATGAATTCATTTCATGACAGATCTTGATTTTGATTGGCTCAAAAATGAATTTACTGACGTTTGACTGCTTCAACTGCACTTTTCTGCCTCTTTGTTGGTCAAGCTTGAGTTCGCAAAATTTATTTATTTCAGTTAGCTATGAAATGTGAGGTTAGGGTATACTATGGGGTGGGGTGGTGAATTTAGATGGGCTATACGCTAGTATATATATATTGCTTGACGGAGGTCGAGAACTTTCTACAAACTACGAGACGTTATGATGTAACAATACTCACTTAAAGCAATGAGAAATTTTCAGAAGGTTCTGGTAACATGACATCACAACAATTGAACCATACAACAAATGTTTCGTAAATAGTTACGTAAGCAAACCTTCCATAGCTATCCTTCTAAAAATATCTTACTTTAACACTCGCGCTATGTAAACAATCTAAATCATAAAGTTCACGTTAATCTTACAAATGAAATGAAACATTCGTGTATATCCAACAGTAGATATAAACGGGATCGTGACTTGTTGCTGCATGAGTTACTTTTTGTAAAACTTTGAACGCAACTTTAGTGGATTCTTAACTTAGCAGCGCTCATGGTTTGTATCAAGATTTAACTTAGTTTTACTCTTGTTTTTTTGCATAGTTAGGGCGCTCGACTCCCAATCTGTAGGTACGAATCCAGACACCAAACATGGGGGGCGTTATATTGTGACGGTAACTCACTTTTCGTTGGTAAAAAGAGTAGCGAAGAAGAGTTGGCGGTGGTTTGTGTTGACCAGCTGCATTCCTTCTAGGCTATAACTTCTATATTAGGACGACTAGCGCAGTTAACCCTCGAGTAGCTTTGTGCGAAATTCAACAAACAAAACTAAATATTGATAGTGCAAGTGACATTCACATCTAAATAGATATATAAGAAATAGTTTGATTTGTATGTATAAAGCAGAAACAACTTGCCAGGCAACAATTTAACAGAAACTAAAATGTATGATGATTAAACATGTTAGAAGCCACGTGGGCACAGCATGCTTGCCTCTACCTCTTTAATTCAGTTTCAAATACTTTATGACTTCCAGTAACCAATCCCTGTTCTTCTCTGACATTTACATAGTTCAACCACAAATCATCATAAGGTATCCAAGGGCGATGGAAGAAGAAGAAGAAGAAGACCGGTTAAATAGCCATTCAACGTGTATGGCGACCATCGACGTACAAGATAGTACGCATTTCCAGCAGCAAATTTCGATCGCAAGATGTAATATTGCGCAGGCGCAGACCGCATCAGTGGAATTGACAGTGAATGGAGCTTGTGACTGTTCGATCTATTCGGAAGTGTTGGTTGAACGTCAGCTACAGGGATATTTTGTAGCCGCAGAACAGTACATTTTCAAGTTTCTACATCACATCCTTGAACCCCCTAGCTTGCTCAGACTAGAAATGGTTCTCCGCACCGAGTGCCGCATGCAGTAAAACTGCCGGCCACTGATACACGAGCACGTTCTTCGTTAGCCCTTCGAGCATCTGCAGCCAAGCAGCCATTCAGGAGGCTAAAGAAAGCACTCTCCTCCCTCACACGTGCTCCTTGCGCCAGCTTGTCTACTTAAAGTAATCTCACTTGATCTTACTGTAAGCTCTGTTTTTCCTTCAATTAAAAGCACGTGAAAGTGGCAGACAGGGCTTCCGAGGCCAGCAAGAGTTGAGAACTCGAATAGCTGCTTCCCAAATATTTTATATTCACTCTTGAGACTCTTGTTTATATTTCAACCATATCACCAATTATTGTAGAACTGTGGAGTACGGGAATTATTCTCTCGGCCATTCGTGCGTTGTCCACGTAAAGAGTGTGAAAGTTTCCGGGAAATATTCTCACTTGGCCATTCATATATGTGTGTGTGTGATGTTGTGTTCAAATGGAATGGTTCTTTTCGCCTGACGCCCATTGTAAACTTCGTAATAATCATCCGCGGAGACTTCGACAGATTCCTGTTTCTAGAATTCGAGGTACGGGATTATGTGCTATGAAGATATCTCATGTTTTGGATATTTTCTCAGAAACATGCTGTTCTTCTACATTTTTCATTTCTTGATACTTCAGCAGAACATTCTTAGCTCTGTGTATAACGTATGATTTGTTTGTCCTAAAGGACCCGCTTCGTAAAAAAAAACATTGAAAGCGCATAGATATTTATCATTCTAAAAGATGTGCTCTATGTAGCACAGACTTGTTATTTCAGTATTTTACGTGTTGTTCTCCTGTTTCGTATAGGGATAGCCAAGTATTCCGCCATCTTGCAGCTTACTTCTTGTATCTGTTAGCAAGTGATTGGGAAGAGTGAGAAGCATATATCTTGTAACCCGTTTTCTGTGTAGCTAGCTAAGATAATGTGCCCAGAAGCGAATGTTATGTCACAGTCAGCAGCCCATACATTAGTCGAAGACTGAGCGTTATGGTCTTACGGGTCACTGTAGACACGAGCAATTCGCCCATATCACTTCTTCTGAATCATTATATGTACTAATTGTGCTAGTTTTATAACGAGAAGTTGGGGTGTGTAGGTTTGTCGTCTTAAGCTATAGACACGTTTTTGCATGTCGTTTTATAGCTAGACAAACGAATTTCGTGTTCGGCCAATTCCTCCTAATTATTGCCCCGTCCACAGACTTCTAGATATTTAATTATCAATTTATTTACCATATTAATAAACCTTAGTCTTAGAAGAATTTTGATGTCGCACGTATATAGAAAGGTATATTTCGGTGTTTTCTTGTAAAACACTATAAATTTGGCAATATTTTACCCTGCCGTTTAGAAAATGCTCAAGAAGTTTAACTCCTTCCAATTAGTGATTGTCTGTATTAGTGCCACACAGTCTAGCGTTGGATGCTTTATCGTCTCTAGTCTTTTGTGTGGGCTGTGAAATATACAAGAACCTATAGCGAAGGACGTTCTAAAGACTCTTGTTTCTATTGTTTTGTGCATTGATATATAAAACTTAAAACAGTTGTAGGCCACTACACGATTTTCCTTCATCTCCTCGTGATATTAAGTGTCATATAGCTTCATGAAAAAGCGAGAGAAATGGCAATCTTAAGTGCTATATTTGTTAAGACGGCCCACTTGTTAGAACCTGCTTACGTTTTATGATTCAGATACCTGGATCAAAACAAGTGCGCTTAGGAGAAAACGTATTCATGCACAGTTTCTTGGTGATAATCTAGACTGTCGCGTGGTAACCGTTTCCAAGCAACCAACTGTAAAATGTCGGAGACAAAAGACGAACTGCCGTCTCCATCCTCCAGCAGTGCAGACAGTAGCGATATCAGTACCTCTGACCCAGACAGTAAAGGCCAGATTGTGTCTGACGATGGGGAGATCCTCTGGGGAGAGGATGCCGACTGGATCATGCTTTTTGACAATATGATAAGATTATCTGATCAAAGCCCAAGGAATCGAAGACGTTTTTGTGGTTGTAAAGGTTGGTTGACATTATTATTCATACACCGAATATATTCACTTTTAGATGTATCTTCTTCGTTTTTTATCATTCTGTTGTAAAAATATACAAAATATATTATATAGTTTGTTTCGAAGAAATGTTATTGTTATAAACATCTGAAGAGTAATGAATGAATGTAACTTCATTGTCTGAACAGTTAAACTATTCTGACGTATGGTTAGTGTATAACTATTCCTAAGGTAACTCATGATGAGTCCTATTACTCTATATAACCGTATTCCTAAGGTAACTCATGATGAGTCACATTTATCTGAATAACTGTATTTGTAAGGTACCACTTGATGAGTTATGTTTCTGTGTATAACTGTATTCCTAAGGTAACTCATGATTAGTCATATTTCTGTGTATAACTTCACAACTTAAGTCATGATTAGTCAAATTTCTGTGTGTAACTGTATTCCTAAGGTAACTCATGATTAGTCATATTTCTGTGTATAACTATTCCTAAGGTAACTCATGATGGGTCTTATTTCTGTGTATAACTGTATTCCTATGCTAACTCATGATTAGTCATATTTCTGTGTATAACTGTATTCCTAAGGTAACTCATGATGAGTCTTATTTCTGTGTATAACTTCAAAACTTAAGTCATGATGAGTCACGTAATTAAATCATATACTATAGTAGTACTATAAATAAAAAATTTTCTGTAAAATATATCCTAAAAACAGTGTTTACAGTTGGATATAACTCCTTCACACGTTCTGTATAAAGTTGGTTTGAATTCCGTGTGACACATGATTTTAACAATGGGAGTAGCAAACACTGTGAGTGACAAATTTATAATAAATCCTTATATTCACCTGAAACACCGGTTTATAGAGCACCTACAGACACTCTGATAATGAACACAACATCTTTATAACTAATTAACTATAGAAGAAGAATTTTCCCCTTTCTCAAATTTCATAGGTAAAGTTAGTAGAGGAATGTTGATAATTCAAATAATCTAGAATTTTTTGACATGTTCTGTAAAAGATTACGACAATGTCAAGATGTTCAAATCATGAAACTATAAATAACTGATTTACAACATTCTGTTTATCACAGGAATACATTCGCTTAGAGCGCTTTATTATGTAACCTCGTACTAAACCTTCTTAACCGAGAGAACAGTATTTGTTGTATCTGTTTACAAAACATTAAAAAATAATGATTATTCTCTAAATTTTTATACAAATTCCTGTGAAATAAAATAGAACTCTGCCATGAAGCTACCTCTAAGGTCCCGTTTTTCCAATACGTATATACAGCGAAAACAATAGTAACCTAAATTTTATATACACCGCCATTATAATATCAATAGGCCTAATGATATTTATTTGTTTTGCTGACCCAAGCTGTGCTGATGAGCCTTGAATAGACGAAACTGCAGTCCATAAGTAGAGGGTACAGCCAATCAATGAATATACCATGACTCTACGTCACAGTTTCTTTTCAATTTCAAATATATATATATATATAATAACCACACATTTCCGTAAACTATTTTAAAATTCGTTTTCGGGTTCTTCTGTAATTTAATATTAATTTAAAATAAAAAACGTCTTCAACAGTATACACAATTAGCACTCGGGAGGTGATTAAGTATTTCAAGATTTATAATACTAGTCAGTTATATTGGATGGTTACTTTCCGCGAGGATTTTGGACTGCTAATCAACATGCGACTAAAATAATTTTGGATAAGAATTTGAATCTTCTGTACGCTCCTTCATAAACCAAAACAACTAGTGTTATAGTGTAAACTAAACTGCACTTAAACCAAAGTAACGTGCTTTAGCATACGCTGTTTTTTGCTTTTGTGCAAATCCAAAATGCTAAACACTCAAGGACGGGGGGTGGAATTGTTTTCGTAATAACATTTTGATTGTATTTTTTATAAAATAGGTGATAAGTGACGGTATTTTACGTGTATCTACGTTGTGAACTTGTACATTTTCAAAACATACAATTATGTGTTGTTTGTAATTTCCTTATGCACAGCATTTCACATCTCGTATTTTCCTCTTCTTCTTCATTTTTTGAACTGTTTCTAGCATATATTTGTTATTAAAGTACTTGAATCTATGTTAGCAACTTCAGAAAATACGCCCCCCCCCCCAGTGGCACAGCGGTATGTCTGCGGACTTACAACGCTATAAACCAGGTTTCGATACCCGTGGTGGGCAGAGCCCATTGTGTAGCTTTGTGTTTAATTCCAAACAAATAGAAAATACATGACGTGTATAATCAGCATATGTAATATGTGTTCTTGACTCTAAAAATACAAATTTGTAAACGATGAAGTTGGCTTTTTATATTTCCATTAAGAAGACAATTTGATTTCGCCGACAAACATACTTACACGTAATATAAATATTGACTTTTCGAATTATACTTCCGACAGCGACTCTTCCCGTCATGTTGGAAGTGCTGCGTTATGTTTGGTAATTTGCGATTGTATTAACCTTTGAAAATTGAGTTTGTTTGTTTTTCTGTTCATTTTAATTGTGAAAAAGAAATTAGCTGATCCACAAATATTTACAGATAACGGAGAATAATACTTCCAAATACATTTATAGACCAACGTGTTTTTGCATTGTTGATACTACAGATAGCACTAGTAGTATGACATGATCCTAACAATAAACAAAGCCGATATTATGTTAGCAGTACTTTAATAGAATGCTGAGACCGTTACATTCGATAAGCTAATTCCTTGGTGTGGAAATCACTTAAGTTTTCTGTAAAAATATCCAAAGGGGAATTCCTTTTCAAAAAGAATAGACCACACAACACCTGGATGACAGATCATCACAGTTTGTATATGTTTTATATTTAAAAAAATAGATCAATCGTGATTATGCCCTTTTACTTGGGGGTCAGTGCTGGTGAAAATGGTTTTCTTGCTGTGGTGCATGAGGCCATGCGAATGAAGGCGTGGCCCAATTACAACATTTGATTAGAGAATACGAATTTTCTACGACAATAACTTGAAAATAAAAACGCGAATGGGAAACTGGTTTTATCGATAATCATAACCAGTTTAAGTGTGTGTCAAAACCGGGTCACGTGAGAAGGCCTTCGCCTTATTAGGCTACTGACGTATATCTTCAAGGCGAAGAATACGAGAACTGGAGATGTTTGCCTTGCATAGTTTTCAGTATTAAGTTATAGAGTGAGATTTTCATCTAGCATTAAACTTATCTGCGAATCAGAATTTTGTTTTCCTTTTCGTTAGAATTTTCTGTCAAAATAAATAAATAAAATTCGATTTATTGCATTGTGTTTTCAGAATTGGTATGTGTTTCACATGAATAAAATGAGACTGAGGCGTGATTCAAATCACGCGGGTCGGGTTTATCTGTCTCAAACTACTAAGGTCATAGTTCATTTCCATGTAATTATGCTAATGTCAAGTGGAAATTTCACTGGCACTTAATGTTTCCTGGACTTTGGCGCCAGGACCGTTTGGAAATGAACTATGACCTTCGTAGTTGGGGCACAGATAAGACCAGCTCGCGTCTTTCGCCCCAATATTCCAGACAGGTGTATTTCAAACGAGGATTACTGCTAGTATAATCTAATAAAACAATAATTCGAATATAATTTTTTACTCTAGCGAATAAAGACTTGAACGAGAGTGGATTTATTAAAGAGAAACCATGCTTACTAGCCTAACATTTTCGAGGATGTTACTTGTTTGGGCGATGAAAAGGTTATGAACTTGGTGTGCTTAGATTTTCACAAAACTTTTTGATATTATGACACATGAAAGATGGGCTATGAAAATCGCATCGTTGGGGTGTGGAAAAACTATCAATTTTGGTTGAGGATGGTTGGATAAAAGAAAGCTGTACCTTTATTGTTATTGATCTAGTGCTTAGGACTCTTTGCTTTTTCTTATTTATATTAATGATTATAGATGGGGACATAATTAGTAAATCATTAAAGTTTGCTAATGACATTAAATTCTTGGATATTTCTAGCTGTATTGAAGATGTTGAGGTATTTCAGAATGACTTAAATCAGTTGAATAGTTGAACAAACATTTTGCTAGTAAACTTTAACTTAGTAAGTGTAATGTAATGCATTTGGGTTATAATTTCGATCATACGTTTAATAAAGATGAAAACTCACTCAGTAGCATGACTGAATGACACGATCTTGTTGGCATAGTGGTGAATAAGTCACTCAAGACATCAAGTTGATAGTAGGGAATCCAATAACATTTTAGAGTGTGTTTATAGACACAGTGATTACTAGTCAAAAGAGGTGATTATATTTACACAACTTGCTGTTTTGGCTTCACTTGGATTACTGTTTATATAATATTGGTCGGTTTATCTAAGAAATGAAATACTTATTGGAAAGGGTTCGGAAGAGAAGGCCCTCAGTGGGTCAATGGTAAGCTGACGGACTTCCATCGGTAAAATCCAGGTTTCTATTATCCATGGTGCTAAAACAGCCAATCAGAAGAGGGCTACTAGGATGAATCCAGGAATTTAATGGTATTCTTATAGGGGATGGTATTTTTTTCACTTGAGAAACATATGGTAAGAGGTGATCTTATTGAAGCTTATGATAGAATAAAGACTTATGATCTCTTTTTACTGTATTCTGAAGACAACGGAACGAGAGAACACAAGCTTAAGATTTGAAAAAAGACAGGCTAGGCTTCAGTGATTATCTTATGGAATGAGTTTTCTTTGGCAATGGTGAAAGCCGACATTTCACAAGAGTTTAAGAAAGCAAGCAATGATGTTCTGAAAAAATAAGAGTTGATTTTGAAATAATTTTAATTTTCTCAAAGGGTAGTTGTATAATGGCAGCCATGAAGGACCAAAAAGTCCCATGTTGTTCGTTTGTTATGATAAATATGGCAGTGGAGACTCTGAAAACTGAAATGATGATCTCTCAGTGAGTTTGTCACCTTTTAAGAACGTTCACAACGAAGAAATAGAAACATTACGATAT